TAATTTAATCAAAAGAAACAATGCAACATAAAAACAATCAGGCGATAACGTAGTATTATAATTTAAATAGAGTAAATATATGTATTTGAAAAGTTTAATACTGCCAATCATATGATAAAGAACTAAAAATTGCTCGTTAATTTAAACTATAATTAAATATAATATATTTGTATTTGACACGTTTTCTTATCATGGATTCCGATAAGAAAGTAGATTAACACTTAAGGTTATTGTTAGTTTGAGAATCAAGCAATTTAATGCGTAAATTTAAAAAAGGCGTAAAACTTTTTTAACTTCCCGAAGGAGACTATTGGCCAAGCCGTTTCTTTATAAATCGCAGAAAAGTGAAAAATTTTTCGTCTACGTTTTAGCCCGCAATTCTGAATCGATTTTGAAAATTCAAAAACGTTCGAAAGATATTGGTTGAAATTGTTGGGAATCGTGCTGAATAGTTTTTGATAGAGATCGGCCGGGCCATTTTCTTGTAATAAAGTATTTTTTAAAAAAAAATCGTCGATTTTTATCATTTTTGACGGTAGATACCATAGTCTTCTAGATCATACTAAAATATTACCCTACGACAACTCGTTTAGTTTCAAAAATTCGTCAAAGTTTGCAAAAATTGGTATCGTTTTTTTTGGCATTTGTCAAAATTAGACCTTTCATCGACGTTTGCTCAAAAATACCTGAACCGATTTCAGAAATTTAAAAGCCATTCGATGTATTTCAATGAGCACTATGGTTTATCAGTTTTGTGAGACGATCTGCCGAGCCGTTTCTTTGTAATTTGAAAAAGAGCGTGAAACTTTTCGTCCACATTTAAGCCCATTCTACCGAATCGATTTTAAAAAATCAAAAAGTGTTCGAAAGATATTAGTTGGGAATAATACTGATTAGTTTTAGGTGAAAATCTACCGAGCTGTTTTCTTGTAATTAATTGTTGAAAAAAATTTAAACCGATTTTTATGGAACTTTTTTTGGCGATATATATCATGGTCTTATAGAACTTACTGAAATATCACGATCTTACTACAAGTAGTTTAATTTTAAAAATTCATCAAAGTTTGAGGAAATGAGTAGTTTTTTTGACGTTTGTTAAAATTAAAATTAGATGATTTACTCGGTATAACGATAGATTACTTGGTCTTAATGAACATACTAAACTATTAACGTCCTATGAAAACAGGTTCAATTATAAAAATTATTGATTTGTGAAAATTAGCTTTTAGAAAATACTCCGAGTTAACGTGTTCGTTCGTTTTCAATTATGTGTAATAAATCCATATTTCTTATCACTCATAAATTAATTTGTTTATTGTTGATTAAGTCGATTATTTACACATATCGGGAAGTTCATGTAACTTGCCTCAAGGATAAATACCAATACCAACTGGTTAAAAACTAATTTCATCCAGTAAAATTCAAAGAATAATAACTAATTTATATATATTTAACTCAGGAAGCTAAAAATTGATTCGTATAGTCACTGATATAGATCATTTTGCAATCTAAGTATCTTCCATTATCTGAACCGTTTCGGTTGAACCAAGGTCGTAACTGTAAAATTCTTTGTATATTTATTATACGCGATCATTTACATCTGCATTGTCTTTTGTTAAAATGCCATCACATTTTCACGCGATGAAAACAATTTACCGTATTCGCGGACTTTGATATGGATACACATATGGATTCATTTATAATTATATAGGATTTATTACGCTTTCATTGTGCCATTGTGTTTTTTACTTCATAAATTCGCACAAAGAACTCCGTATTATGGGAAAATACATAATTTTCTAGGAAATACTTAAAGCTGATTTCACCACAACGAGATGAATAATATTTTGTGAAAATAAATTTCTTTGCATAATTTAAACTTATGATGATAGAGTAATGAAATTTTGATACGGCTCATTACTCCAACTATTCATGAAACGATTTAGATTGATTTGAAACTTCAAGACTAGATAAATTTAGCAAATAGTATTTTTTGGGAAATGTAAACTTCTCAATTACGAAGTTAAAAAAGTAGAATAATTGAATTTTGTGTAACTCGCTGAAGAACCTTTTCAAATGTTGTATGAAAGGGGTATTCTAGTCTAGAATTTAAAAAAAAAACGTTTTTTTTATATTTTGAATTACTCAAGATTTTTTATATTTTCAACTATTCAAGAATTTATGTACAAGAGGATTTTTCAACATTTGAATTATTTACGGAGATATAGATGTTTGACTACGATAATCCTCTTCTGTTTCCTTCGTCTGCTAAACTTTGAACGCGTTTTTCTCGAAACAGTCATTCTCGATACGATACCCACGATTTCTCATTTTTTACTGCACCGATTTAGTTGAATCTTTACAGAGTCTTATTCATAGACTTCTCTTCAGTATTAACCCATTCTCCTCACTCCCAAATTCCGATTTGTACTATTTTTTAAAAATTCGAAATATCAAAAAAAAAGATATACAATTTTTCAGATTTTTGCTATTTTGTATTTTTTTTAATTTGCCCATTCATACTATCAATTAATTAATAGATTAATAATTTATATGCATAGTTTTCTTCAGATGATTTGGAGGGCTATAATCACTCATATAATCAAATGCCATCTTTTGAGATTTTTTATAACTTTATGACTGCTTTTTTTGATTTTTTATATATATTCTCAAAATATGAATTAATTTCGTGTAACAAAAATATAGTAAAAAAAATGTTTGCTTTTTTTACGGTCCTTCGAAAATTGTATAAAATTCATGTCTCTAGACCACAACACAAACTTTTGTGTGAATATATAATTCAAAAAGGTTTAGGTTGTAATAATTAAAGCTTAGTATCAAGGAAGTGTATATATATATATATATATATATATATATATATATATATATATATTACGTTATCCCAGATAACTATCAAGATTATCATAATTAGTGATTTTGTTCAATAGTACATCGATAAAGTTCATTTATTTCTCGTTGGAAAACAGAAACGTTAGCCGTCATTGAAGCGAATACAATCAGCAAGAACATGATAAGTGTGCACATTTGATTATAGATGATTGAGCAAAAAACAGAAAAAATATAACGGTGTAAAATTGATACATATTCACATAGTTTTATATCCTGGACATCAACTAATTGACTTGAAATATTTGCAAAACATAATTAATAACGAGAAAGATTTAGGTTAAGCGATGTATCGTGATGGAAACAATATATGCTATCTGGAGAAGGTATTAAAATAATAAACTTCTTTGATTTTGAACCAGTGTTAAATATATTTCATTCCCTTTGTTCTTGGAAAGTTGGAATGTGAATGAAAATTTTATCTACAGTTGTTATATCCAAGGGAAAATAACCATTAGAAGGTTAATGGAATACAATTTACTTAAATCAATATTTATATGAAGGTCAAAATCAGGGTTCTGTTTACAGAACAGTTTATTAAGGGGGTATTCTGGTGTAGAGGCATACATTTTATGCGATTTTTTAAAGACTGTAATAAAGACAAAAAGTATTTTCACTATAATTTTTGTTACATGCAATTAATTGATGTGAAAATATATAAAAAATGAAAATAGTCATAAGGTTTTAATTCTAGAAAGTTATGAATTTGGGACCTCAAAAAATGGCATGTCGCCATACTTATGATTTTAGCCCTCCAAATAATCTGAAGAATAATATGTATATATTATTAATCAGCGAAGCATGCCTTGGTTGGGCCCCGCATCAAAACTTGTTTGGGGGCCCCTTTAAGAAGGGTAATGATTTTTCAACAAATATAAAAAATGCATAAAATTAAAAGAATATTTATTTATACTCATAAATCTGTAAATTTTCTGAAATGATTCTAAACATATATTTACTCTTCTTGCCTTTTTTCAAAAAACTGATTTATTAAGCGATGATTTACAGTTTTTTTAGAAGTTTTTGTCTTTAGGGACGATAGTGACAGGTCTGACAGACATTTCTCTAAAAAAAGTTCTAAAGTTCTTAGGTTTTTAATATCAAAAAAGTTATTATTAAATATAGTTCAGAAAAATATAAATTTTCTGAAGGGTTGTGCCATGGTTGGGCTTAAAAGTTGAAAACAGCGACCAGATTTAGAAACTAAAATAAAATTCAATACCTTTCGATAACAAAAGGAAATGCCAACTATGCCGGAACTATTAATTTAAAAAAAAATCGTTTTTTAGCTTTTGACGTTGAGGTCCCCATATAAGTGATACGGCTGATACGGCGGTAACTACGCCCCTGTTATTAAACAAGTTAAAAATATTTACAAAATACCGTCTGAAAAAAAATTATAGCTTTTTTGATATATTCGATTTTTTTTAGAAATAGTAAAAATCAGAATTTGGGAATGAGCAGAAGGAATTCATCCTGGTTGGTTGCTATGGAGATCTAAGTCACAAATCACGCGACAAGTAGCAAATCGATAAATCACTCTGAACATCGAACATAAAGACAAGATTGCATCCTATGTAGAAAAAATAGAAGAATACTTACCGATTTAAAACAATTAATGAAGTCAAAACTAATAATAATATAATATATATATATATATATATATATATATATCTAAAATTTAAATGTGGTTTAAAATTTATGAGAACTATTTTTTGAATAGTTTTTGAAGATATCGTAGCCTCTACGTTTTCATATACCCAAGCGTAGCTCTACGAGATCCTCATCCGTAGATCTTATTTAATGACAGACCACGTCTTATTGTTCGTATAATTAAACTAAAGTCAAATCGTATAATTAAACTTAAGTCAAAAGTATTGATACGATATAAAATTAAATAAGAAAATATTTAGTATATATTACAATCTAATATACTATGGGCATTAATCATTCATAGTTGTTTTTTTATGGTGTTAACTTAAGTCCATTACTTTAAAAAATCTTAATATAAAAAATGCATTCAATATAATTTTGTAAACATTGTTCACGCTGATATTTTCATACCATAAGAAATATTATACAATTGTACTCACATTTTATGAAGCGAATACTTCGAGTATGGATTTACAAAAACACAAGTGTCACACAAGCCAACACCCCGAAATTAATAAATGATGAATGAACTTCGAGCTAAATTCACAAGATGCACATCTAACACATCACAATATAGCACAATGTGCAATACTTTACGAGAAATAACACTATTGTCGGCGATTCTGATCAATGAAATGCAATCACACGGCGATTGAAATGACACTTTGCTCCGGGCGTAGGAAACATACAACCGAATCAACTGCGGGATGATGACTGAACGTACGAGTTGAGTGGAGTATAGAGAGCGCTATAATTTCATACGGGGCTTCCCCCACTCTTGGTCGCACTTACTCGAGATGAGAGTTTGTTAAAAGCCTATCAGGCGAATTCTACAAAAACCTTAATGTTTATAATAGTATAAGTATAAACTAGTGGGGTGCATGGCATCGTGCCTTAAGGCAAATTGCTGGAACTTCCCGCACCGTAATTAAAAATCTTGGTTCGGAACCCAAAAAAATTTACACAAAATGGGTACACATTATTAAAATCCCTATAAAATATCTGATAATTTAATGTACATATGTCCAATAAGCATTTTTAATCGCCAACGACATTTTTTTAAATTATTTTTATTGAGAGTCCATAACCGCTGGACCTGCCTTCCCAAAAATTTACTCAGTTCTTCATCTTGTCAATACAAGTAATATGTCTTTTGAATTATTAAAATCGGACGCTCCGTTCTCTTAAAAACTGAGTTACCGTTTTTGGCACTTTTTGCCTCGTATCTTCGGAAAGGTTAGACCTGCCTTTGTCAAAAACTAATCAGCACGTCTCCTTAGACTTCTAAAAATTAGAATTATTCAAATCAGTTGATCGTGAACGAAAATTTGTATCCGCACACACATATATCAATTCTTTCTAATGTATGCCAAAATATTCAGAAACCTTTGAAACGTAAAGATATATAAAAATATTCATTTACGATTTTTTTGCGATTACTATAACTTACCCCACAGGAAGTTAATAAGGTAAAATGACTATACTATGGATATACATTTATATATAAGTAGACCTTCTTTAATTTGAAGATTACGTTTTAAGTTCTTATTTACAATTGAAGTGTAAACTGGATTTAATTTAGCTATTTCATCCTTAGATATTATTTTACATGATACTTCTTATGTTTGAACTCATTTCCATTATGTATTGCCGCAGATAGATTTACTTGATCAAATATTCTCTTTTCTTTAGGAAGATTTATTTTATTATTTAGAATTATCCTATTTATTTATATAATTTGAGAATCTTAAATTTCAAATAAAACTAGACTATTCCTAATTAGTATGTATAATTTTTTTGCATATTGCAATGGGACGTAATTTGTCAATATTTCTTTGATTTTGAAAATTCAAAACAATCATTTAAAACAATGTATATGTATATATCAATGTATATATTTACAATGTAAAACAAATCTAAAAATGAATAGTACAATATTATAATAATCATAAATTAGTACATATATAGATAAATAATGTAAATATTTTATGTAATATGTTAAAGAAATGAATATACATATTAAAATAGTAAAATAATCTAATTAAAGATTACTTTCTGTTTGTGATTTTTCTAAATTAATAGTTTTATCCTATGTAAACTTAAAATAAAATTATATAAAATATTAGTAATGAAGAGTAATATGTTATGCATTGTACTGAGATCGCAATTTTTGTTAAAAAATAATATGGCATATAAAAGTTTAAAATGATAAAATCTCATTATAATTAAGACTTATTACTATATATTGCTAAACGTGTAAAATATTATTTAGGAAACAATTTAATAAAACAAAAATTACTTCCATTTATAGAATAAACTAATCATATTGCATTTGCACGTAAAGACACTTATAGATTTATTTTTGGTAAAAGCCAATAGGCCAATTCATTTTAATACGGTTCAAATGATCAGAAATTTTTATTACAAAAGAAAGGTCGTTACGTGTTTTATCAACATTTTTTATCAAACTACCAATTATCTAGTACAATTATTTTGCACTTATAATACTTTAAATATCATCATCGTAAATAAAAATTAAAATTAGAAAACAATCATCTCTGTAACACACATCTTACATCTGTAACACTAGCATAAAAAAATTATATTTAACATTATGATTAAGATATATATATATTGGTACTCAAATTGAAAAATTAATTATCATAAACACTATCATATCTTTCTTTAGTCCTTCACTCTTGATAAATGTTTATTATTATAAATCTACAACATTCATCTGTATTATTAAAATGCTGATAAATAATTTATTCAAAACATAAACGAATTGTGTTATCTCTGTATTTAGAGACAGAGGCTAAAAAATGTAATTTGATATGTTTATATTATTGGTTGTTTAATTCAGATCGATATAGTATATAGTATTGTGCATCTGTAAGTACTATTATATAACATAGAGAATATAGTAACAATAACGGTATTGTTAAATTTATTGTAATTAAGTATATATGGTTGCTAAATTCTAAAGCTAAATATAAGGCCGCATTATAAACAGTCTTTCGTTTACATTCACACCTCCAACCAATTAAATAAAATCCAAGCATAAAAATTCACTAACTTGATTTAATCATCAGTACGACAAAACATTTGAGCAAAATGTTTAAAGTAATTTTAGTAGACAAATTACATTTCATAAATCAATTTATCATCAATATCAACAACTGACTCATGAAATATAGTTCCTATGATATAAATGAAGTAATTTTCAAATAATTTAAATCTATTGCACGCACAACTTAATCATCAGTCATTTATATATACTCATAAGTGATGAAAAATGTTGTGAATATTAAAACAATATATTGTGGTCCAAAAATTCAATAGCAAGATCCAAAAACTTTGGAGCCACAATATAATAATGTTCACAATATTTCTTCTTTAAGCGACACAAACACATTGCACTGAAATAGTAGAAGTGGCAAACACCAACTTTTAAAATGATAATGGTATTTAAACCAAATTCATCATATTAACAAATTAAAAATCAAAGTAAAACTTAGCAGTAAATATAAATATTTAAAACATCTAAAAAGTCCAAAAGCGTCAAATCACAAAAATTGATTGCACAATTCAACTAGGAACAACCGCATCTGTCAACTACCATTCCCGGTAATGTACCATAAACAATATTCAAATCTGCATCAAAATACAGCATTGATATGGGGCTCATCTGTCGAGGTGCGCAGCAAGGACCTGGAGACCCCGTAGGCCTTGCTAAGTGAACTATGTGAGTATGCGGATTCTTTTGCAAATAAATATAAGGGCAATCACCATTACAGTAATGAGCTTCATAGGTTTTGGGAGCTATAACCCAGTCCCATCCAAATTCTTCAAAATCAACCTTTAGTGGAAAACGACAACACAACGTTGTGTTCGAGTCCTCGGTACAGTCATTACTTATTTCTCGTTTGAATCGCCTTCGGCGCCCGTCTTCGGTATAAACTTCTATATAAGGTACCTGAAATAAGATATTGTTAGATTTATATATTTTAGACCTGAAATAAGATATTGTTAGATTTATATATTTTTAACTTATTAATATAATATGGCATCACAATTTGCATTCAAATACTTATTAATTAACATTTACCATAGATCCATCCTCAAAATCGTGATCAAGAACAACGGCGTGTTTTCCTTTGCGATCCAAACCGATAATTTCAATCCCTAGATTATTTCTTGGAAATCTGAACCATTCATCAACAACATTTGTTATATTAATTTTATACCATTTTCCCTCTACTGATGGCAAAACAACCGTATTGTTAAACACTGAATATCTTGCATTATTCGATTCTTTCCGTTTAGGACTTTTAATTACTTTCAAAATCTCAAGATTGACAGATGTTTGTGAATAAACATCTTCTGAACTCCATCCACTAGATTTTATATATACATGAAGAATTGCTTGTTTCACATAATTCTTTCGGACATTTTCAGCAAATTTGAAAAACTGTATAGATGACGACTGCCTTCTACGACCATGTTCTGAAATTGATTAAATTATGTATTTAGTATAAATATAAAGTAGCTATTAATTAAATCAGATATATCAATGTAATTTTTATAGTTGAAAACATTGGGAGGAGTATATCAACGAAAATAGGATATAAGCCCAGATTCATTACATCAATAAAAATTTAAAAAATCCTATTTTTGTTAATTTTAAGGATATATGATGGGATAATTATAAATAAATATTATCAATATATTCTAAAATAATTACTTCAATAACCTGAAAGTAGAAAAAATGTTAAAATAAAATAAATGCTATGATAAAAATTTTATATATTACTTTACTACCATGTTCCAATATCAATATAAATCTATTTGCAATGCTATAATTAACTGATTAGTTGAAGTATCCAGCTAAATGCCATAACAACGCAACTAGACAGAGCGGTGTATAGAAGCATTCAAATGGCACTTGGATGGATGTTCACGATCAATCAGAAACGAATTTCGAACATTCGAGTGATGCAATTAAAAACAATAAGTAATCAGAATCAGAACATAGTAGTGATATAACAATAAATCATAAAAATTAAGATAAATATAAATACTGCTTTCTTTAACCAATACTTGTTATTCAAAAAACAACATTATTAAAATTTCTTCACATCAATAACATATTTAAAAGTCTCTTTTCAATTCACATACATTTACATATATAGTTACGAATCTACTGTACAACATGTAAATGATCAAATATTAACAGTATATTTTTAAAATTCGCTAATAACAATAGAAATAATTTACGTCTTCAATAACAAAGTAAATATCATTAACTGTAAAATCTTCGAGATTAAAGAGTAGTTTATATATATACACAGAGAATTATTAGGAAAATGTATACGCAATATAAAATTTAGTCAAAAAATGAGGGTCTACTTTCCTTTGCACATTTCAGTATAGAGTATAATAATTTTAGGAAACCAGTATCTTTTGGTTTTTCCAAACCGCGCAGTAAACGATTTTTCATTACCGACACGAACTCTCTATTGCTCAATTGATTATCACCTGAAATTAGAAACAAAATATTTGCAGATACGTTAATATTCCAATAAGTTTAATTTGATTAAATTTACATTAATTAAAAAAATTCATATACTCACAGTTTTCGTCAAATATTGTAAAGACTACTCTTATTATATGATCACTGAGGTTAATTCTGGCTACAGTTTTTGCAACATGTTTCAATGTGGCTTGATCAATCGAAGCGCCGGCAATGTGGTAAAATGTTAGAGCGGTGTCGACGTCATTTATATTATTTAGAAAATGGAAGAAATCCATAAATTCTTCTTTAGATATACCGATACTATCATCACCTCGAAATCTAATAAAATAATAAATAAACGACAATAAGCTGAGTTATCAATGTAGCACAATGCGGTAAATACAATAACTCACGTTTTCTTAACCCTCTTCAACATCCTGGCCTTCTTTTTCTCTGTATAACCGGCAAAAGCAAGAAGAAGTTCTGCAAAATCCAATTCCGTAATTTTTCCATTTTCTGGATCTTTGCGCAGAAATTCCAAATATAAAATTTCTTTTTGAAGATCGTGTTGAAAATTCAAGAATTTTTCTATAGTCAATTTTTGATCCAAGTTTTCTCCAAAGAAATATGTAGTTAAAGCTGAATTTACACCCTAAAATTTATATACGTTGCCACTTAATTTTAAGTAGAACCTAAGAAGATACATGCTTTTATTTACAAGACTTAAATTAGTAACTACATGTTTCGTGTTCACTTTGCTTGTTATTTAATTTCGATGCATGGAAGCTCGCTTTTTAGAATAGAAAATTTAGCATTTTTAAAACAGATAAATTATATACTACACTTATATCAATTTCTAAATATACCTCGCATGCATATCGTACGCGCAATTTACAACTTTTGAACGTATTCAACAGTAGATATTTTCTGCTTCAACATCAGCATCGGATCAAGTCAAAAAAGCAATCATTTTGATATAAGTATGTACTTAAATTTTCAGTTTGATAAAAAAGGTGAAATCACATAGTTAAATGAAACACATCATTCAAATTGTAAGAACCAAAAATTCAATGCATAATAGTGATAACTTTAGTTAACATCACATAGTTGAAGAACGACATCATGCTCAAACTATACAATCCATGTTCACATGTAAAGCAGAAAAGTTAAAAGTGACTATAAGCAACACATCAATCTGTTAACAAAGCTACAAGGTTCATAAGGTTTTTAAATCAAATGCAGGAAAAAGTGTTTAAAAAGCATACATTCTTCTTAGAGCGATGCTGTATTAATAATAAATGTTAAAATATATTTAAGAAAATTCATGTCGAGCTCAATTTTGCAAGGCATTCACTTATTTACAAATCTGCCACACTTTAATAAATTACACAATCTTCATTTGGGATCTAATAATACATGAATTTAATATTTAATTCTCAAATGATCATGCAATAATAATACCTATAGTGCAATGTTTGATATGTTAATTACGTTAATTGCAAGTTCATTATTATTTGTATAAGTTTGAATCCGTTATGATAGCCAATTATGATTTAGATTTATTCTTATTTTAGAATATTTTCCGACCTTTATTTGTCGTGCCCCTGCAAAAGCTTTCGAAATTTTCGATGCCCCCTGTATAACATATAATAATTATGTATACTATAGTATATGAGTAAAAAGAAAATATATGCAAAGACAGACCTCAGACCAAGGTTTATTACAGATAAATTGGTAAACTTTAAAAATGAGAATCCTCAAATTTAGCCTTCAGACCACAAGATCTTACAATTTTAATTTAAACTGTTGGGAATTGTAAAGACGATTAAAACTCAAATATGTATCAGGCATTGTGAAAATTAAATAAAATATATATTTAATACATCTACTTAAACTGTGCTTGTTTGAGCATTTCTATGCACTAGTTAATAAAATATTACTACATTGGAATTACACTGTATCCAAAAGAGAATTATGACATACCAGTGTTTTTTCTGCTGCCTAGAAATCGTTATCAGAAAGGTAAGTGTGAGAAAGGGTTGGATTATGCACATTAATTTTATATCAAATGCATTCCACAACAAAACAATGACTGACAATAATATAAAACAAAGATTACATAAAACGATTATTATGAAATTAACAGTCGAATCAGAAAATTTAGAAAAAGAGGATATTATAGGATAGATTAAAGATTATAGCACAAATAAGAAAGGCTTTTCGGAAAGTGAGAGAGTACAGATCACATATAACATATTTCAGCTTTTGTTTTGTTGCATGTGTATATATCAATATAAATTATTATGTTCATTATAAGTCATTGCAGTATTAACCAAAACTCATTATAACTGGTAAGGATTACTGGTTTACAAATCTCATTAATATTTAAAAATAACGATATATCATTCATTATCCATAAAATATGCAAAAATCAATCAAAGAAAGTCCACAAATATTAACGTTATATTCATATTGTAATATATCTATTAGTTCAATAATTTTATTTTGAATAAAAAAAATTAGAATAATATGAAGAAAAGAAATAGTTAAAATGTAGAGAAAATCATAAAAAATTAAAACTTACAGCTTTATTTGATACCACTTATAAGTATTATATATTCTGAATGAATATTGGGTTTTACAAAAAGACTAAACAGCATAATAAAAATAATTGTAAATGAGCACTCTATCATCAAATATTAAAAATTAAAGGTTAAAAAATGTAAACCTAAATAGTAATTAACTTTGTAAAACCCAATATCTAAAAAAAATTATAGTTAACAATGAATGTCAAAATTGAAAAAAATTGGATACCTTGAATGTGTTTCCAGTATTTGCATGGTCTCTGTGTCTAGTTCCAATGCTGGTTTGGTTTCTGACTAAGGTAGCTACTCGAACAAATTCATCGCTGTCAACATCACCATCACCATTTATATCAAACATACGAAAAGCTATTTCAAAATGCCGGCGTGATGCTGAAAGGTAACAATAAATTAATTACAATTAATCTGTAAACATTGTCATGTTTTTATTATTGGGCGACTTACTTGATAATACTGTTAAAAGAAATATGTAATCCGAAAATGTTATCAGACCAGCGGAACCTAGCTTATAGAATATGCTATCTTCTTCTAAAGACAAGTCAAGATTGATTTTGACATCCTACGAAGAAGATAATTACATCAAAATACTATGAATTTAAATGTCATGACAAAAATTATTTACCTTTGGGTCATATTTCTTGTACTGATCTAATCCTAATCCTGCAAAAAAATATAAAGATATTAGAACAAACATATACATACACATATATATATATATATATATATATATATATATATATATGTATGTAACACGAGTTTGAACATAAAAATAATATAATCTATGAACAAATATAATTAGGTGAATTTTCAATGTAACATTTATAACTATGTGAATGAAATGCCAAAGAAATTAATATAATAAACTTCATGCTTTCTTAAACAAAACTTTATTAAGTTAGTTTTGTGTATTAAGAGAATATTCTTTCCACATATATAACTAAGAGTTTAAGTATATGCTACTTTGAAATAGCAAGAAGCTTTAAAACTAATCATCATATGAAAGTAACAATGCCTCTTGGTTGTCTTGCTCCAGGAGTAATAACTCTCAAAAAATCTGAAGGTGTCATCAAAATTTCGCCATTATGTTTGTGTTGTAATGTCGCAAAATATCGAAATACTTTTTCTGGTGTAGAAAACTGCCGAATTCGATTTTCATATTCTGTTATCTACAGTAGCACATATAAGATTACATGCAAAGCAAAATGATTATTTTTAATGCAAACACCATTGAATAAAAAAACAATACATCACAAAATTTACTATATTTAAAACATGAAGCACAAAGTATTGCATATTTTAGCTTGCTAAATTATAAATGCTGAATAAAATAGAAAAAAATAAAAAACTAGTGATTTTTATAACTTATTGTATTCATTGATATTTGCATCACAATATATACATGCATAGAAGAGTTTTAATTTTTTATGCAAAACTTAAATTAATTTTTATACACAAAATTCAAGAAATCACATCTTTTAAATATATTCATAATTGTAAGCAAAATAAAACAAAATACAAGAAGCTAGATTAAAGCAAAACAAATTTCTACTCATGCAAAAACAGACCAGAAATTATAAAATTTTACAATACAAATCTTAATAAATATAAGACAAATAGATATCCAGACGTTAAGTCATTCCCTTCTGGGTAAAACTATTATTTACCATCAGGTTGTTTCATTCCTGGTGTAATAGCTCTAAGAAAGTCATCAGGAGTCATATAGACTTCGGCACCACTTTCCTGAGATAATCTTATAGTTGCAAAATATCGAAAAATTTTGTCTGGAGTAGAGTAAGCTCGCATCCGATTCTCATATTCTATAATCTTCATGAAAATTTAAATTTTTAATGCAATATTTCTTGAATTTTATGCATATCACCAAGCATGTTTTAAACTTATTGTTAGTACATACGACAGAATATAGATTTTTCATATATGCAACATATGAATTTAAAAAATATTGATTATGAAATCTTAAAATAACAATTACTCAAAAGAATGCATACATTCCTAAAAATTTGTGCATCAAATAGGTACAACCGTACAATAGGTACATATAGACTTCACTAGAACAATATACATAACTATTTTGCTCAGTCTCTGACCTTCCTATCACGAAATCCAAGTTTTTCTTTTTTTTTTCGGTGCAGCTTCTCCATCAGCAGTACTTGACTCTGCATCACTGTCTGACTGAGAGTCTACACCGTTGTGAGTTTCATTATTTCATCTGGAAAACTTTCATCACCTTCCCCTTCCCTGTCATGTTCCTCTACACTGGCTGCATCAGCTTTTGGAAAATATGTCAAAATCCTATAAAAATTTAAATAAAATAAATTATGATG